GTGGTGGTGGTGGTGGTGGTGACGGGAAAGTGTGCCTTTTTCGTCGTCAGTCACATTCCCTTAGCATAATCTCTTTCTTGATAGCCACGGTCAGGCAACCGTGTCGTTGATACTGGCTGTGTTTTAGCCGCGGCGGTGTGGTTTGGCTTTCAGGGATCCTGTCACATCGCTTGCTTCGCTACCTCAGTCTGCTTGCCGAGCTGGTGCGACTGCTACGAGTTCAGGTCGTTTAGGTTCAGGTTCGGGTATACAGTCTCATGTGTCATCATGTTTCGCGACCTCCTACAAGCACACAGACAACACTGACTGCTATGTCTGAGGTCCATGCAGGTGCCCATTTCGTTGGACTTCGCCCTCTCCCTCCGTCAAGGATCGAGTGAAAAGCTCAAGTCCCAAGCTCCAAGCTCTCAGCCCTCAGTTCAAAACCCGAGCGAAGGATGCTCAAAGTGTCTGCTCCCAATCACAGTCGAAGATACAGTCTTCTCTGCTTGCTCCAATCCGGAAACACGCCCTAGGCCCTAAATTTGTCGCAGCTGTCCATACAAAATGCAGGAGCCACATCCTCGGGCTTCTTTCTCAGCTGTGGGGTGATCACTGGATTGCAGCTTGGAGCAGACTTTCTTCTGGATTTCTAAAACCACCGGACTGTACGGAGATCCGGGAAGGGAATCTTATCGGCTCAGGCTGATGGCGTTTCATGACATGCGTTTTTGTGAAGATCCGATCAGCCTGAAGATCTCTGGTTCCGACTCCACCAATCCTACCACATGAAAACAGCATGAAAGAGCCAGATGTTGTCCGTCCGCACCTCTCCAAGGTGCGCTATGGCAGTGGTTGCCTCAGATGACTAGCGCGAGAACTCCCTAGCTTATGTTGATGCTGTTCTCCTTACATGGCGTATGGGATAACTTCAAACTTTTCGGACCCGGTTATTGAAAAGCACAGATTCGCTCTCTAATGCGGACCATAGCGTGAAAAAGTTCGTAGTACCGTGCTATCCGACACTATCCTCACCCAGTCCTCATCCCATTGGCATCCGCACCGTGTTCCTCGTCTCATGATCGTCGCGGCCACCTTTACCGCTGCAAGCGCAGGCACCACCTTCATTGTCGCTGCCACCATCATCTGCATCTGCAGTCTTGACAACATAATGCATCATGATGATGGCGGTGATGATGTTCACCAACATCATCATCATCATCAGCAGCATCACGACAAATCTCACTATGTCACTATGGCTTGGAGAAGCAAACAGATGGAGAGACCCCAGACCCCCATGCCTCGACTCGGCGGTCTGCATTCGCTCAAAGTTCTAATCCCTAAACATGGTGTTCGGTGATACCTGTGCTCAGCAATGGGAATGAACATATGATTTCACATATTATGAGGTACAGGGGTCGTTATTGGTGTTTCTGAGTTCCGCAGTATTGACATGGGCTCATTCAAAGCTGAGGCTGGTAAAAAACTCGTGGATGAAGAGAACTGGAATCAGTTCCTTGGTGCTGAGAGAGGTTTAGGGTTATCAGGGTTCAAGATGACGTAGATACCTCGATAGGAAAGGCCCCTGAGGCCATAACATGAGGACCCTGAAGAGCCAGGTTGTGTCCTGAGCGGAGGAGGGAGGGTTGTTTGAGGGTAGCGTTTGAGCCTTTCAGTGAACCAGTTCGGATTTCGTCAAGCAGCTTATTTCATGCCATGGGTTTCAGCGGTCTCTGGTACAGAACCACGAGCTTCTGACGCTTCGAACCTCAACCTCCAGACCCACATCAGTTCAGGTAACTCAGCTTTCATGTCCACTGTTACTTGCCTAGTTAACTTCTCGAAGCGAAGCCGAAGACCAACAAGAGGCGTCCCTATCCCTCGGACCTTCAGGTTTTATGTGCGGCGGTTGCTGATCGTTATTCCTCTCATTGCGATGGCACTTAGCTTTGCGTCCGCCATCTTCATCAACGAGACATCAGGCGCGAGTAAACGAATCTGCTTCGGACCTATCAAGTGTATCCCAGTCTAGGTCGGGCTCACCGTTCGTTCAAGATGCCCTGTGACAGCGATAGTTGAAGATTGTTGCACACTCCCATGCAAGTATAACCAGGAGGATGCAGAAGCCAGAAAATGCAGCAAGAAGTCCCCCAGTCCCTCAGCCTTGACTCGAATTCTGATGTTTCCGGCAGGCAGCGAACAGGTGTATCTGGTCTGGTGGCACGCTCAGGGGATTACCAAGGGGTGACAAACTAAGTGTTGGCAACACGCTCGTCTCAACGCTTGTTGTAGTTGGTTGTTTAAGAATGATATCTGATGTCTTGACGCAGGACAGTTGGTTATAATCATAGTATATTTCGTATCGACATGGCTTCAACCCGTACAGTAGTACAATCTGAGCGTTTTGTGTGTGTGTGTGTGTGTGCGTGTGTGTGTGTAGGAGGGGGCGTGAATGTAATTCACGACCGGTATCTATGTGAAGGAGGGAATACACTATTTCTGAGTATTCCGGCCCCCCTATGTGGGGTGTTGCCTGGCATGGTTTCGCATGTTTGCTTGCCGCTTGCTTTCTGGGACGTCATGAACATGTGGGATTGTCATAGATGCTCCTGTATTGTGGTCCTTTTTGCAACCTTTGTTGCCCTGGACGAAAACTCCTAGCATTCCGCAGCCGGGCAACAACTCGAATCCCCGACGTCTTACACCCCAAAAGCTGCCGACACCCCAGCCTTAGAGGCTTAGAGTCTTAGCCCCTTTAAAGGTGGGTGATGATCGGCTTCACAGTCGCGGGATCTTTCATTGGCCCCCTCTCCGTGATCCCGGGCATCATCTTTTGGACGAGCCTGGCCATGCAAGTGACTGCATGTGTGTGTGCCTTAAGCTCCAAACTCCGGCCCAACAGCCGTACCTGCTCTGGACGATGGAGGGGCGATTAAGTTGCACTGAGGAAGATTACAAAGTCCAAGAATCGAACCTTCTGGATGCCACCTGCCTCAATGAGTTCTGGGTCCTAGCATTTTGGCACTGTTTCGGGTGCGGGTCTTAAGGTTCGGGGGGTGGGTCAGGGTAGGATTTGGACTTTACCGACTCAGTCATCATGTCGCGGGCTCCTGGATGCAAGGCGCAGACCCAGAGCCCCAAACTGCGGGGACTTTCGTGCATGAAATATCTGGTTTTCGCTAGACCCGGATCACCCTAAAGCATAAACACTAACCTCAAAAACATTGGGCAGGTGTGTCTCCCCCCAAAGCCTGACCTCATGTCTGGGTGGCTGACATGGGTGGCATGGGCAAGATGGGAGATACAGAAATTAACGTTGAACCCAACCTAAGTGTACAACAAGACAGAGTCTCGGACATCACGCAACCCCAAGGTCAAAGGTGGTCCCGGAGCCTTCAACCCTGACGGCCCTAACCCCACGAACCTGCAACCCCACACCGTGTGAATCCGAAAGCCTAGGATCCTGACGCAGTGCGCTCGAAACCTTGGCCTGGTAGTTGGGCCCGGTCTCTTTGCACTGCTGCGGACGGCTGTGACTGGTGGGGGTGACAGAGACACCTGGCTGCACTTTACACGAGCGATTGTTAAGGCCTTTAATCCTATGATTACCCTAAGCATGGAAAGCGAAGCCAAGCAGCAGCGAAGCCTTAAAGCTGGTGGGGCCTGTTTACTGTCTGGACCTGGATTGATGAAAGCATAGATCCAGGCTTGTTGCGTGTGTTGACCGAAGATAGCAGCCTACTCTGTAAGTGTTAACTTGCGCTACATTTGGGCATTGCTGATTCTCCAGACCTCAAGAGGTCGAATCCCTGCTCAAAGCTTACACCGCAGACCGTAGACTTCAGGTCTGTCCACGCAGCATGATGGGATGGGTGAACCTGCCACCTGGTGGCAGTACATGGTGTGTGTTTCCGTGGTATGTTTCAATCTGGGACATCATGTTTTGAAAGTTACTGTGGCAACAACATCGTTAGCCCCAAGCTGAAGACCCTTCACAACTTTACGCACGTCAGATATCCTGAGAGTGCTGAACATGTCGTACATTTACTTTGAAACACTGTTCACGATCCTTTCACGGGGACAAGATGCCCACTAGGAACTGTATCCGGATAGAATAGTGCAACACGGCCTTGGTAACGAACGTATTCTGGCACCACGGTCTGTGGAGTTCACTCTTGGCAGTCTCCGGTCCAGATGCATCTAGCCCCTGTTGCTTCGGGGTGGCTTTCATTGATCTGCTCTCTTCGAAGCAATCATCATCCCAAAGCCGCTCTGACCTTTTTACAGGGGCCGAGACTGCTGCAAGCTAGAGGATAGAGAACCGGCCGGCGCCTTCTCCTAGCACAAATCATTGCAGTGTCAGCATATGTCAGCATAAAATGTGGCCTTGTGCAGAAAGGTCAGGAACAAACACGCCCCGAGAATGGTCCTGAAAGAGATGGATAATTCTGCTCATGTCGGACCCACGCCATGTAGAAACATGATTCGTGCAGACACCCTAGAAGCACGACATATCCCGCGCCACGAATCTGAGACTCTTCATTCTGGCCAGCATTTCACCCTTTTCATGTCCTTCATGCACACCCTCAACTCAAAGCGGTAGTTGCTTCAAAGTACCAAGCCTTCTTCGACGGTCGACATAGCTTTGTTGAACACCATACCCAGAACCCGCGAGCTGAGGACCCTGCTGTTCTTCTCCCTGATCTCGGCCTCCTTCGGTGCCTTCGTCATGCCGGCAAGGCGGGCGGAAGTGGCGGAAGGGTTCGAGGTTGGCTTTTCGGGAGCTTCTTACCATCAGGGGGTAACTCCGTTTCTCCGTGTTTTTCCGGAGGCTTGAAGGGCTTGGGCTCAAGTCTCAAGGGTTCAGGGCTTCGAGGGCTCGGTGTAGGTTTTCAGTTTTTCAAGGCCTCTTGCGAGGTTTGCAGGTACCGCGCACTGCTTTCAGGAGTGTTGCGGGCGCATTTTGTCTTCGCTTTGCGCACCTGTATGACGATGCCCGCTTTTACGCCTGCTCTGCCGGGTCTCGCAGACAGTTGAGGCATAGTTAATGACTGTGCGCTTGTGCGTTTGGGGCTTGATTCAAGCATCAGGGCCGCAAGGGTTTCGGGATCAGGTCACGCTTGGGCCTGAAGTTTCAAAGATGCAACCTGTAGCACGAAGCATGCGGACGTCAGAGGTTGAAGATGTTGATGCTCGTTTGTTTGGGCACATGCCTAAGCTCTCGAGTCGTATTATAGGGCTTCACAAGCGACTAGAAACTCTGAAGCCCGAAAAGCACGTCCACTGGCTCAGGATGCCTGACTATCCTTTGAACTTGGAGGAGGATGACGAGGCTTGGCGGTCCAGGGCCGGAGGCTTTACGAGAAAACCATGGCTGCGGTGGTCCCGAAACAGTGAACCCCAACCTCCAAACCGCCAACATCTTTGAAGGCCTACTTCGTGCCTGGTCTAGCATGACGGAATAGAACTTACAAAGGCAGTGAGTGTGTCATGCTTGTATCTGCTTGTATCAGTCTTCATTGCATATTTCTCCAGGTGAATGGAAGCCGGACCGTAACAAGGCAACACGAGGTCTTGAAGCGTGAGCCCTATAAACCGGGATCCCTCAACCCTAAACCCTGGAAAATCAATTCACAAGACTCGAAACCGCTGACACGACTCCTCTCCTTCAGACATTTTGAAGGCATCGGGTGCTAAGAATCTATTGAACCCTAGCCTGGCTCTTCCGCGAGGACGATCCGGACGAGCTGGCTCCTTGTATGAGGACAGGAATGAACTAATGCTCGGATAGTTGTTAGGTTTCCAAGGATTGTCACCGGATTTGGAAGTTTATTCAACAAATTTGCAAAATCGAGTTGATAGGATTCTGGATATAGTGTTTTGGCAGTGGGTTGCCGTGCCTTCCTTCACGCTTGGATCCCTTTGTCGGTGTCCTCTTTGGAGTAGGTTGCCTTTTAAACCGCACTATCAAGGCTGCCATAGTTTGAAGCCGCCAAAGCAGTCAGCCTAGCAGTAATCCCCTCGTTATTGATGGTACCCGGAGGCTCCTGTACCATAACGAGGTGCAGCTCCTGTGTTGTGCTGTAGTTGAGTATGACGGCTGAACAGTTGTCCCAACATTGCTGGCTTGGTGTTTGCGCAGTTTTGACAGGTTTGCTGGGTCTCTGCTTGGACCATGGACTCTTTGGCTTTGGGACGTCAGTGTCTGCGTGTTGTGGATTAGGGCTCTTAAATTGGTGAACCGTGCTAATTAGCCAGGGACGCCAACCCTCCAACAAATCTTAAACGCATACCTCAGCTTACCATGCACCAGTCACTCCTGTACTACACGTGAAACAGTTTTAGGCATGTAGCTCTTGGTTCAGCACCATCATTTGTAGACCGACTCAGACTACTTCTTGCATCCCAAAACCGGAACGGGGTGTACCACATGCGCGAAGCATAAATGACCTAAGCCGAGGTCATGATCTCTGACGCTCACCTCGAGGCTTTCGAAGAGATTCCACTGTGACCCAAACGAGCATACCAAATTCTGAAGCTTTCATGTATGCATGTTTTTTTGGATTCCCGGATTTTCGGGTAAAGTATTACGGTATTACGAGTTACTATGACCAGAACTGCGAACCGAGGAGTAGATTCTCTTGTCCTGGTAGGGACATTCCAGGACTGCGGCTGTGTTTGGGAGCACCTTAGACCCTATTGCAAACCGTATGTTGATGCTAGAGACGAGCATGACTTCATGACGACGACGATGATGATGGTGATGATGATCATCATCATCATCACGGTCTTCTTCTCGCAGCCCCCAAAGGGTTTTCTTCTACCTAGCTAGGCCGCTGTGTTGATAGTACGCAGGCCATGCCTGAGCCGGAGCGAGAGCGGGTGGTCTGGAACATGATTTGGTATGCCTTCGAGACTCGACTTGACTGGAGCTGTCAAACCGGTTGTCTTTGTGTGTTTGAATCAGGGAACCCTAGGCACAAGGCAGGATCCCACCGGTTTGCATTTGTTACGGTCCTGTATTTTCTGAAACTGCAATGATAAAAAAGTCTGGGTATTAGGGCTGTGGGTGTAGGTCTTGCAGTGGTATAAGCAGCACATAAAAGATTGGACTGAAATGCGAATGACTACATAGATAGGGTCCGGGCAAGCCTTGCATAGTCTAACTAGCAATAAGGTGTCAATGGTCAAAGTTTGATGGTGCTACCCTCAACGCTTACTAACGTCGCATGGTTTGCAGCGGATTTCTTGGTGAATTGTGGGGTCATCTTGCGACATGGTCTTGGATCATCGGTTGAGGCTTTGAGGCGCGTTGAACATCTTTTTGCTTCGCACAACCCCATAAAAACGCAAGCCCCGCGCGGACACCCGGAAAGCACGACACCGCCGTAGCCGAAGCAGCAGACCTTATCAAGAAACTAGTCACAAACAAGACGGATACACAGAATTCACGCAAGCATTTCATTTCCCATCCGCACAGATGCCTATGAGCCTCAGCCTCTTGGAACAGAGCGTCTACNNCGCTTGATGCCCGCCGTGCACGGTATGATGTATAAATGACTGCTGAAATCCTGACGCTTATAAGCCCTCAGCTCACAGCTCCTCAATGCCAGGAGCGGCCTTTCACGTTGGCAGCCGTTGAGGTCTCGACGCTTATGATGTTGGAGGTCTACTACGGCAACTCGAAGAAATGTCAGAAGCGTCTTCATCTTAAGTTATTAATTTCAAGCGTACCAACCGGGAGCATACTCCAGTATGCTGCAGGCAGTTGGCAGTCGTCGTTGGTCTGGTAGAGTAACAGCAGTAGCCGGACAACTGTCGTCCAAGCCTCCCTGAGAAAAGCAACACCAACGAGGCGGAGAAGAAAACACACCCGAAAGCCTCAAACCGTAAACCTAACATCATGGCTGTGAGAAGATGTTCAGGTTAAGCGCGCTGAGCCTTAAACCCTAAGTCCCCGTCAACCTTAGTTTAAAAACCCTAAACCCTTATAAACCCTAAACCCTAAACCCTAAACCCTAAAAGCTTTCAGCTTCAAGCTCCCAGGCTGGGATCCATACATGACCGGCACCTTTGCTGAAAGAGAGTCAGGGTTTGGCAGTCAGACTTGAGCATTTAAACGTGTGGGGTGGAGGGACAGACACAAAGGAACTAAGGTTATGGGATTTCTTGCTGATGGGGTAGCTTCCGTCCTGCCTCAGCCCATGGCATTCTGCCTTTGTTATTCTCTCCTTCTTGCGCAGCTTGTGCCCTAAGGCACAAACATGGGCCCTTCTACCGTCACTGTTAACACTAAATCACCCTTCTTGCTCTCATGTTTATGCATTGCAGTGTACTCTGCTATGACGAATGCGAGCCGGCGAGACTAATGGTTTCATGCTGTTTTTGGCATCAGAAAACGGGCAACCAGAAGATCTCACCAAGCCCTTTGGAAACTTGACTGAAGGATGCTTCAGCCCAAGGGCACTGGGCCTGTGCTCCTGCTGTACTGACGCAGTTCTACTGTTTCAAGTTTGCATTTTCACAAACATACATAATTGCCATTCGCTGATGTTGCTGTTGGTGTTGCTGTTTCACTTTGGATTGCTACTGGACTACTACTGCAGCCCCGTGAGCCGCACCGAACGGAATTGTGAGCTTCGAGAAATAAGGGGTCTACATTTTGTAGAAATCGCAGACCCGAAAAGATTAGAATCCTTCTTACAAGCACCTCCGCAAAGTCAAAACCACGGCTGATAGTCGTTTCGCAGCGTGCTTTGGAAACTCGAAATTCCGACGCGAACTCCTTGCAAGTTTCGTGCAATTCTCTAGGGCTTCCTGCTTCGGGTTCGGGCTGGATGAAGTTCTGCCAACCCTGCATGATGCCTGAAGCGAAAATCCTTGGATGAGGCATTTGTTTCACTGCGGTTTGTTCCCTGGGCATCATCATGTCCATCGGCACCACTGCCGCTGGCCTTTGATGCGGGGGCTTTTGCCGTCTGAGTAATCCTCAGGCTCCATGACGGTACAATTCGCGTTCTGAGGGCATTAGTGATAAGTGGGCTGAAAAGGCTAAGAAGTGGTTACGACCAACCTGATAGGCACTATGGTGTTTGGCCATCTGAAACCAAACTGTCATCTTCCTTCGAAGCCTCCTTCGCCCCGTGACTTTGGCCGTTCAGGGCTTGGGTGGACGCCTGTTTGGATTTATTGGTGCAAAGAGCTCGTCATACCACCAATCTGCGAGTGTATACATAGTTGTTCTCAGTTATTACACAGACATGTGTCAGATTGTATCTTGCACATGTAGACATGTATATGTATGTATACATACATACATATGTAAAGAAAGGGAGACTTCATGTTTACTAAGCTGCATATATATATATATACATGTATATGTATATATATATATATATACATACACGCATGCAAGCAATATGTACCCACATGCAAGGCTCGCTGGCTTTACGGCCGAATATGTCTTTGTTCCAAACCCCCTAAGGTTTAAACATGTTTAAACTCTAAGCCACGAATTGGGGTTTGCCGGATTTGCAGGAGTCAGGCTTCAGGCCATTCCGCGAACCCCTGAACCCTGACTCCAGAGACTTCAAAACCGAAGCCCTGAGCCGACGTCGAGGTTGCCTTGGTCAAAGGCTGGGTGGTTGAATCTTTGCCTGACAGTGGACTTGAGGGGCAGTAACGGACGTGAAGATGCGAGGTTGCAGGGTTTTTGTTTTGCTCAAAGCTTCATTTTCTACAGCGTGCAGCTCTGGAGTCATGAACTTCTGCAACGCCTCTCCGGGAAGGTGCTTATGAGTCGAGAGAATCCGAAAACAATCCAGGGTCCGGGAACGGATCCATTGGAGTGCCGCGCTCTGAAACCCTCAACTATGAAAGACCGGGCAGACCTTCTTTTTTGAGCCTTATACCCCGAGCCTGGGGTCCAAAGCCCTGAAGCTTTGCCCGGAAAGCTCCCAACCCCAGAGCGGCCAAGGCCCTGGGTCGCTGGTAGGGTTTCCTGACGTCTCAAGATACCTGA